ACAGGATAGCAGCGTGCTCTGGAACACTGTGGGTTTGTTCAGGATAGCAGCGTGCTCTGGAACACTGTGGGTTTGTTCAGGATAGCAGCGTGCTCTGGAACACTGTGGGTTTGTTCAGGATAGCAGCGTGCTCTGGAACACTGGGTTTGTACAGGATAGCAGCGTTCTCTGAAACACTGTGGGTTTGTACAGGATAGCAGCATGCTCTGGAACACTGTGGGTTTGTACAGGATAGCAGCGGTTAGTACAGGAGCTCATGTACTATAAGACAAAGCAAAGCTGAGGGCTGAGAAGGAGCGGTAGCCTTTTATTGGAAGGTAGGGGTGACACACCACCACCCACATGCTGTGGAAATGCAGCCCTTCCCCAGAACCATCCCACCACAATTCCTATAAAGCACTCCACATTTACTCTATAGAGCAGGGCAAACAATTTGGAACAGAGAGGCTGGGACTCTGTACAGGACTCATTGAAGAGTGACATGCATCACATCTGGGACCAGAGAGGCTACAGTTACAGCAGGCTGTCATTTGTTGAGACTCTGCGACTAGACTCGTCGAACGATATATAGCAGAGTTATGAATGCAGTTAGGGAAGCAGCGGCACACTTGGTCCTGACAATTGTTAATCTTACTTTAAAAACATGAAATTGCCAACTGTGAGATCTTATTGTTGGCTATTGCTTCTAATTGTAATGCAAACTTTTGAGACTAACATGTATGGCTATATTTGGAAGTTAAACACTCTTTATCTGGTGTTTCTGTTTCGTGTAAAAATATCAATGTGACTCAAATGCAGATAACGAGTGCTCTGCATCCATTTTACACATTTTCAGTTTAAAAGGGTTTTACAGAGACAAATATCAAACTCCAAAAAAATGCATTTGCTTTTATTAACAAAAGAGAATTTTTGTTGTGTAAATTAGAACAATAAACACTTGCTATACAATAAGACTGGCTTACAAGCTCAAATAAGGGGATTTTTCTCTCTCCAGGTGGCAAACATACAGGAAACCCGCTCCCCCAACCCCCAAATTTTTGTATTTTTTTTTTTTTTAAGATATTAATAAATGCTCAAACCTGAAAATTAACCTCTAGGTTTTGCTTATGGTTTATCACAATCTCTTCCAGTAGTGTTAAAAACTATCCAGTTTATTGTTTGTTTGTTTAAATTAAAAAGAAAAAAAAAAAGAATTATCTTCTTTGCCCACATAAGGAAAAAATCAAGTTAACCAAACTAGTTTAGATTATTCCCTTTCCCGTAGCTGCTCGATGGGAAGGCTCAGTTGCAAAGGATTTCGCAAACGCTTCAAGTTTTCTTCAATCTAGAACAAAAAAAACAGACCACATTTATTTTACAATATTTTTTTTTTGGGAGGGTGGGGAAGGATGATTTGCTTGTTTTAGTAACATAACTCATGGCTGCTAAAACTATACATTAAAAGTTAATACAAGTGGACATTTTGACATCACTGTATTATAAATGCACATATTTGAGTGAAAGTAGTTTATATAGTTAATAAAAGGGACAGGGCAATTCTTCAATAAGATATCTACACACATTGAGTGCTTTAGATGCCAATTATTAGTGCAAATATAGTCAACGTCAATATACAGACATCTCAGCGTAATCTTTTTATAACCAATAATGGCTGGCCCTTAATATCAAGCCAGATGCAGTTCACAAACTTGTTGGGGAAAAAGGTTTGTAGCTATTAAGATGCCAGCTTCTTAAATTAGGAAAAATTAGTCTTGCCTTTATCAGAAGAATAGAATGGTGCAATGTTCTGTAATTATTACTCAAAAGAAGAAAAAACAAAGGAAACACAATTGACAAACCTATATAAGAACATTTTATTAAAACTTTGTTTGCACAAAGAAAAAAACAGGAGTGGG